TTGAAGTACACATAACTCTCGGATTTAAATCCGAAGTTTCCGCATTTTTTTTTTACAATCTAGAACGAAAAAAAACATCGGAACAAAGTCATATTAAAATTAAAAGGAAAATGCAGTGATAATTATTTAATTAAAATAAATTTCTTTTATTCTATTCAATTACATGAAAAAAGGTAGAATTTTCGACCAGTGTCTGTTAGAATGAGCTTGTGTGGAAAGTAGATGAATTTATAAAGATTTTTTATGATTATTCATTATTATTATTAGTAGTAATAGTAATATGAAAGTTGGAACTAGTATCGAAGCAATGACTATTTATTTTGTGAAATGACTGTTATGAGTGACGAACGATATAATTGAAGTAGAGTTCCACATAGAATAGTACATTGTTTAGATATGTTGATTCAGAGTATAGAAGGTTGGTTGCTATTAATGTGAGTAATGGTTCACTGCAACATCAAGTAGAGATTATATGTATTCCTTTGGTGTAATTGGCTTAGGACATTTGCTAGGATGCGATATGTGCATGGTTCGAATCCACGAGAGATTTTTTTTTCATTCTGTCATATATACGCTGCATCGCAAAATGGATCACTTATGATTCTTGCATTTGCAGAACACATTTTTTATTTAAAAATTATCATATATATAATTACTTTTTGGTCATGAACAATCAAAACTTATCATCAATCAACTTTTTTGTATTGGCTGATAGCCATGGCAGATATTTTCCTCGAACATTTACAACATCATCGTATAATTTGGTCTCAAAATTTGTACCAGGGCTGAAATGGATTGATAATCATCATCAAGAACTATCTGTATATGCATTATTATCGTCACCAGAAATCCAATGGTCGTTATCCCAAGCAAATGCAGTCTTATTCTTGGTTGGAACTAATTCTGTTAGAATAATGCCTGCAACAAAAATTATCCTTCAGGTCCAACAATTGATTCTTTTTCTCCAACAAACGTGTCCCCATCTTCATCAACCTGGAAAAATCATAATTGCTTTAACTTTTCCCTGTTTCTATACAATACATAGATTTCCAACTCAATCGTCCTTAATGTCGAACATCAACTTACATAATGAAAAATTAAAATTGTTATCGTGCCAAATGCATTTCACCACCATCGATCTTCACATCACTCGGCACCATCTGAAAAACGATAATATGCATATACAATTTCGTTTTAATGATCTAATTGTCAATTCCATTATCAGCCATTTTAATCAATTAATTCCAACACCATCAACAACTTCAACAACATCAAATTCAACATCAGATGAACCAAAAGCTTCTCAATCTTCTCTTAGGAGTCGAGAAGCAATACAATGTCGTAATCAACAACGTCATGAAAAAAGAAAACTGGAACGACAACAACATGTAATAAAAAGAAAATTACATCATCAATGGACTATACCACAAATAAAACAATATCTTGATTCACTTCACATACGATATGCATATATTCCACGCTTCTACAACAACATTCTTCGATTACAATTTAACAACCAAGAAGATCAAGATAATGCTGATAGTAAATTAAGTATGGACATTTTTGATGAGGGTGTGGGTGTGGGTGTGGGTGTGGGTGGGTGTGTGAGTGTGGGTGGGTGTGGGTGTGGGTGTGGGTGGGTGTGTGGGTGTGGGCGTGGGATGGGTGTGGGTGCGGGTGTGTGGGTGTGGGATGGGTGTGGGCGTGGGATGGGTGTGGGTGTGGGTGTGAGTGTGAAATGATATCCTTTTTGAGGCCGACACCCACACACAACCTACACTAGGGGTGGAACATTTTTTTTAACGTGACTTAATTTTAAAACTTAATTAAGTGATTTCACTTAATTTTAATATTAAAATTAAGTGAATCACTTAACACTTAATATTAAAATTAAGTGGTAACAATAAAAACTTAATTTTAATATTAAAATTAAGTGAACCACTTGACACTTAATATTAAAATTAAGTTTTTCAATTTAACACTTAATTCATTAATATTAAGTGATTAAGTAATTGAAATGAAGAAAATACCATATTATTTTGATTTTTTTTTATCAAAGAAAACTTAATTTAAGTAATACTAGTGGAATTCTTCTAATCTTTCAACAGTTCTCTGGAGACGGTTTTCATTTTAAAGTCTAGTAAGGTTGATCCCTAAAGTGATAACCAAGATGTCGCTAGTACTTCCAACTTTGTTTCAATATCAGAGGTTGTATTTCTGAAAGAAAGAACTAATAGAACGTGATGAGAATCAAAATTGCATTTTTTAAGGGCACTATAATCACAATAAATATAGCTTGCTGAATACGAATCAAGCTCATTACGTAAATTGTTCAGTCGCTAAAGGTATAAACACTTTTTTGCTATACTCAGTGCAATTATAATCACAGAAACTCCGAAGTTACTGATGATCCTCATTTAGACACGAAATTAACGATAATGTTTATGCCGTTCTTTAAGTTAAAAAGATTAGATATGCTATAAATCCATCGGTGTTGTCTGTTTTTATTCAGCGTAAAATGTACATGTTATACATGTACGAGTATTATAGTAATCCTACTCTCTTAAAGGAAAAAAGAGCAATAGTACATAAAACAAGAGCAAGTATGAAAATTCTAAATTTATGTCAAACAAAAGATTTTCCTTATTCGATTATATTTTGTGTTTCTGAGTGCTTCCAAATCTATTATTGTTAGGAGTGGAACATTGTTTTTTAACGCGACTTAATTTAAAAACTTAATTAAGCGATTTCACTTAATTTTAATATTAAAATTAAGTTTTTATTTTTATCACTTAATTTTAAATTAATGTAAATGGCCCACCCCTAACCTACACCCACACCCACCCACCCACACCCACACCCACACCCACACCCACACCCACACCCATACCCACCCACACCCACACCCACACCCACACCCACACCCACACCCACCCTCGAATTTCGACTTGAAACTTTGTACAGAGAAAAATCTTGATGAGACTGGTTTACTCTGAAAGTTTGAGATCTTTAGGTTCCTTCTATCCCGAGATACAACTAGAAGAAAAAGGTACTGTTTTTTACATCATTATAGCACAAAATGTTAAGTGTTTATATTTAAGGATAGGAGCAACCAAGAAATTTGAAACTTTCAGAATTAACTACTTTTATTGAGACCTCTCTCTCTGCAAAGTTGCAGGTCGAAATTCGAAAGTTGATTTTTCAAGTGAACCTGAGGGGGACCACGGCGTTATGTCACAAGACGCCATGAAAAAATCAAATGTCTCAACAAGAGTTTAATCGAGCATCTTTGGGCATCCACTGAAAATAGATGATGACTTGCTCTATCAAATAACAAATAAAAACTTGAATTAAAGCTCCGGCAAAATCCGGCGAACAAACTGCGTTATGGAGCAGCGACTTTTTTCACTATACTGATCGTAAGATTTTGATCTTATTATAGCCCAAAGAACTTCAAGAAGTCTAAACGGCTTGCAATATATAGTCAATGTATAACATTGTATAACTAGATTCTCAATTTAATACATATGTTTTACTTATATGGTCCTATAAGTGATATTTACCTATTTTACGTACCTTATGGTGTCTGCAACTTAACAGACACTTGCTTTCAATCTGTATCCGGGACGCAGTTAAATGCAGGAGCACAGCAGCTTCAATGCTAGCTATAATGTTTGTCTAAATCTCGAAAACCGATTTTGTCGCCTGGCTGTCCACTGTGACCCACACCCACCCACACCCTTTCTGGAGCAATCGTCTTCAAAGATTCAAGGGCTTCCGATGCATTTCGATAGCGATGATATCAATGCAAAAAGCGAGGATTTTCAGAAAACCATTGATTTTTCGGACATTGGATAGTGTCAGGTAGTATGAGGAACATCTAAAAACGAAGTTTCTTAATGAGTTTGATTTATTTTTAATGAACAGAATATGTCGAAATTTTACAAGGTTTGTAAGGTTTCGAATATTTTTCGTACAAGTGGTGTGGAGTCATGCTGGATTATTCGGTGAGATATTTTGTTTATAAGCAGAGTACATTTTATTATAATTTTTCAAGGATTCCAAGGATTTCAGCAACGCTTACGGGTATACAATGATTGAGAGGTTTACAATATAAGAAAAAATTGTTTTTTTTTGTCTTCCTAGTTCTTCACTTATTGGATTCGATATAAAATTTTTGTACTCGATGATTTCCATAATCGACGACATAGAGATTGCCGTCTCGATCGAATGACAAGCCGACAGGCCCATTGAGTTGGTTCAATTGTTCTCCTCGACCGTTTCCACCAACAACGATACTTCCTTGTGATGCTCCTTTAGACCAACGCATGACTCGATCATTTCCGTCATCAGCCACATAGACAGTACCCAATCGATCGACAACAACTCCTTTAGGATATGTTAATTGTGTAAGATCATTTCCTTTTCCTTGACCACCAGCCACGACAATGCCTTGTTTTTCACCTTCCATCCATTTCGTCACACGGTTATTTTCCCACTCAGACACGTATACTGAATGATCTTGATCGACGAATACGTATCGTGGGTTAGAGAGTTGATCGAGACGATCTCCTTGTCCATTGCCACCTGCAACCACTGTTCCTTGAGATTCTCCTCTTTGATATCGTCTCACTTCATGTTTATCATTGTCAATGACATAGAGAGATCCATTCTGGTCCATTGTCAAACCCCAGCAAGCAATGTCGGAGATGATTGTTTCTCCACTTCTTCCATTTCGATGAGGCCATCGAACCACTCTTCTATTCGATCCATCGCAGATGATGAGACTATCGCTCTTTTTATCGACAATCACGTCATATGGGTCAGACAACTGATGATCTCCATTTCCTTGTCCATTTGCACCAGCAACCACTTGGCCATTCATTGCACCCCGTATCCATTTCATAATACGATGATTCGAATAATCTGCGACATAGATTGTTTCATCATCATCTACATACAAACCCCATGGGTAAGAGAGTTGATTGAATCCATCGCCTTGCCCATTTCCTCCAGCTACAGTGATACCATTCTGTTGCCATCGAGCATCTGGACGAATGTCAATGGAACTTCCATATAATGAATGGACTGAAATAGAGAGAAAGGATACGAGAAAATGATAGAATAAGAGAGGAGAGAAAGAGAGAGACTATAGAGAGAGAAAAAAGTGAAAAGTTCATTTGAATTTTTGTAAAATCAACATTGTTCTAAGTTTCGACTCGTTTCTGATTTTCTCTTTTGATAGTAAAAGTGGTGCTATCAAAAAACTTGTCAGTGCAGCTCCATCGGTCCTGAAATGTGGAACTCATAATCTCTGTCTGTTATGAATTTATCACAAATCATCTGAAGTTTCAAAATAACGCATTAATATAATCTTAAATAAATGAATAAATCAGAGTTATAAGAATTTTTATATTTAATAGATGCGCTCAGAAATTTTCTTTAATCAAAACTTCATATTTATAACTGCTGTAAAACGAACGCTTTTTTGTGTGATACATCTTTAATGCATAATTTTTATCTACTTAATAAAGATAATATTTACACAACACATGTGAAATGTTAATAAATACTAAAAAATATTAATAAATACTAAAGATATATTTGAAAATATTAAATATTAAAATAGATTATTAATTAGCTATTAATTAATTAACTCATAATTTTCCTTATTAGCTAATTAGTTTATTTGTTTGTAATAGTCTGTAATGGGGGAGGGGTGGAGTAACGGTTGCTATGAATACATATCCAATAATGTATAGTTTCGTACCATAGTGTTGCTAGGGTCATTACTAAGGAGATCATTGGGAAAGTCTTTAAGGCCACCCTCTCCTCAAAAATCGATCTAAGCCCAATTACGTTCAGATGGGCTGAAATTTGGAGTACATGTTGGGGCTGAAGTGAGGAGGCTGTAGTAAAATTTTCAGCTCGGTACCCTGACGTTTGACAAAGATATGAACCAAACAAGGGTCAAAAATAGCTCATTTGGCAACCCATTTTTCTCTGTCCAAACTCTTTCAATATATTTAATTTTCTTTTTGTTTGAAAGAGCATCTCAAGATGCAGAACCCACCAGAGTCCTTTTTTTAAATTGTTATTTTTTAAGCGGAGAAAAGGGCAGACAAGTTCAGTGATTCAAAAAATCCCTAAAAATGGTGGTCTATTTATATAAGTGCTTGTATATATAATAAAAAACAAGCTTAATTTAAAAAAAAAGGACTCTGGTAGATCCTGCATCTTGACGTGCTCTTTCAAGCAAAAAAAAATTTACATATATTGAATGAGCCTGGACAGAGAAGTTTGGGATGCACGATCGAAAAAGCATAAACTGAGAAAAAACGAAAAAGATTTTTCGTTTTTTTCAAAATAAGCACATTTTTCAAGGAGAGGTTGACAAAAACCATCGCAAATTGGCCAAAAATGAGGTGTCGAAGAAAAACCAATGTCGTTTCTGAAAGATCTGAAGACGGACTATCTTCCCATACGTTTACCTCCATTTCGAGAATTTTGCCGAAAATTGACATTTTTTGAGGGGGATGGCCTTAATTTCCCGTCATTTTGGTAGCTAGAGCCTAGGGATGGAGGAAGCCGCAATAATTCAGTTTAAAACCTACACTCACTATTTTTTATCGAAAATATACATGAGTTCTACAAAATTATTTATTTTGTTTCTTTTTAATTTTCTTTATTACATAATTTATCATATAATAATTATTGATAGATATTTTGTCTTGTCCTGTACTTCATACAATTATGGATTTACTAATACATGATTGAGAAAAAACGTTTTTTTTCCAACTACCTTTGATCTTATATTTGAATTAGTAGGCTTTAGAAAAGATTTTAGTAGAGTTAAGATATCTTCAGAGACTGTATTAATTTCTTGAAATGTAGATCATCCTTACTAATAAATCATTAGTACAAATAAATAAAGTTTTTTCTTTCTTGAAAAGAGAAATAGATCACGATAGTCATTCTATTACAAAGCATGAAGTTTTTTTTAGCCTTATGAAAGAGGTAATTATGAGTATGCATATATACATATAGAAAACATTGTAATCCCACATCCTTTTATCGACTAACAGAAGGAGCGATAGAGAGAGAATCATTTATAATAGAAATAAACTAATTAAAAAGAATTTAAAAACGAAAAATCTTCCTCATATTCATATTGATTTTAACAGGACCTTTTCTTTATATGCCATGATTTTTTTTTACATAGAGAGATCTACGCTTAGCTCTCATTTGGAACTTAACAAGGTTGCAGGGCTGGGCATTTCCATGGAAACAATTCAATTTGGGCCCCCTAAAACTGACTACGTAATTTGTGAATTACTAAGGGATTCACAAATTACGTAGTCAGTTTTAGGGGTCCCAAATTGAATTGTTTCCATGGAAATGCCCAGCTCTGCAAGGTTGTGGGCGTAGGCGTTTTTACGTAAATAATAATTTAAATCCGCACCCCCATCCCTACCGACACCCAACTAGACTAAAGTTTGAACTTATGGATAGGCGACTTATGCCGTGCACTGAGAATCTCTTAAGACTATGTCATTATAAAAGCTATGCTATGTCGCCTATTTTTTAGCAAATGCGATGCAGTTACGCCGCAGTGATGATCGTACCGTAGCCCGTAATTGCGGCGCAATTACGAAAAGAAAATTGCAGTTACTGCGTAACGGCGTCGCAATTCGATTGCAACAGAAAACTTGAGATTGTTTCAAATTAAAGTCAACATTAGTGAACAACTCTTCGACACAAAACTTAGAATTTTAATACTTTGCACTTAAGCTTTAAAATTAGCCCAACAAGAAAAACTTATCCTTTTAAGATTTAATCCCACTTTTCTCAGTCCAAAATTGAACTATAAAAATATATGATCCTGCAAAAATTTACTCATATTCGAAGTTTCAAAAATAATAAAAAAACCGATATTTTTTACACCTTGAATTGTTCGAGAGATGTTTCTATTTTTTGTTTTGTTGAGCTCAAGAATATCTTGTTTTGAGTGAAACGTCTTATTCAAACATAACACTTACTTTTTTTGACACACTTTTTATCAATTATCTTCGAAACTGTAAGAACTATAAAATTCGCTTAAATAGCATTCGACGTATGTTGTCATGTTTTATTCATGTTATGAAAATGGTATTTCTACGTACGTAAAAGTCTCGAGTTTCTACAAAAAAAGGTTTTTTGTGTTACGTACTACTATTATATAGAAAGACTCTGAATTTGAAGTTTTCTCACTTAAGTTCTAATTTCTTGCGAAAGTTAATCTCACAATGAAATGCATACTGTAGAAACAAATTTTTTGTAGAGCATCGAACACACTTTTCAAAAGTACAAAAAAA